TAAAAGGTGGAAGACATCTTTTCTGGTTGTTGCCTTCATCTCTCTACCAGCCACGAAGAGAGATGGGGTCACCCAACTCTATTTTGATCAAAATAAAAGTTGTTTGCTTGCTGAAACCTCGACTCAGGAGTTTCTTTGGCTCTTTTAAATTCCTGAGTAATGCTGGGGCAGTTGTGAGGCTAAGTGGAAAACCTTACACAAATATAAAAGTTAATCTTTTGTAGTGGAATGTCTATGGAGATTCTTAATTATCCAGGTCATGGTTTCCCAATAGTGCTTTTCCCAAAGGCAATTTTTGGATTTTTTTTAAAAAAATGTTTTGCTTCTGAAAAGCTTCTTGGATGAGAAGTGTAATGATTTCAAAAGAAAAAACACAAAGTCCAGTTACCTTTTGGAAAAGCACCTTTGGGACTTTTCGTGCATCAGGGGGTTGGACTAGAAGGCCTCCAAGGTCCCTTCCAACATTATTATTATTATTATTATTATTATTATTATTATTATTATTATTATTATTATTATTATTATTATTATTATTATCATCATCATCATCATCATCATCATCATTATCATCATCACCATCATCATCATCATCATCATCATCATTATTTGATCATGAAGTGATCAGCACAATAATTATTGCTAGATTGGTAGACAGGAGGTAGCTTCATGCAGGAAGTTACATAGGATTTGAGGATCTTTAGGAGATCCATTCCTGGTTATGTAAAATTTTGAAGCAACTGGGCTTAACCCCCTCCCCCCCTCTTTGGAGCAGCAAAAGTCAAGAAGGCATAAGAGGCTCCTTCAAGCCTGCTGTTTCGTACATTTTTGTACACCTGAAGAAAGCAAATAGGTTATAAAAGCAAAGAGACAAGCTTTTGGTCTTCAGCTGTGGGGTTCTACAACTGTAGAATGTGGGTTGAATTCTCTTTTTCAAGGTGATGCTTTATTCTGTAAATAGCAGGCATTTGCATCTGTATCAAAGTTTAGCTTTTCCTATAGCTAACAAACTACACCTATTTTATTCTGAGATTCAAATAAGAGGAAAGTCTGAGCCCTGATTAAGCTCAGAGTACTTTTTTTGTACTTCCTTGCTTGTACACAAGGTTTAATTGTTTTGAATTTGATTTACCTGCTCTTAAAAAAGTGTTTCAGCTTGCTTTGGAGTGTCATTTAAAACAAAAGCTGGATTCTTCTAAGAGGTGACTTGTTTAAAAAAATGTTCTGTAATGCAATCCTCTTTACTGCATCTGTGAACTGCAATCCTGTAATGCAATCCTCTTTACTGCATCTTTGGTTGTTTTCCACAGTGTGATTTCCATATGCAATAAATGTATTTGCTTCACTTTTCTCATTCCAGAAAAAACGATCTAGCCTGCAGGCCTCATTCCTGGCATGCTACCAAATTCACTGAGAATCAACTTGAAACAGCTGTGTCACAACTCTCCTCCACCAATGTCTGTGCTTCATGGCCCTCTCAGTATCATTCAAGGTAAGTTCTTGTTGAAACTACAAACAGCAGGCTCAAATGGTAAGAATTGCTTGTCTTATTTTATTATTAACTTTAAACTGCCAGCAATGTACTGTGTTGTCCTGTTGGGCTTATTGTACAAAGCAAGCTCTGTTATTAAAAAGACCAGTAAATTATATACCCAAGAGTTATTAATTCAGAATGTTTTTTCATTGTGAAGAAGGAAAAATAATACCTGCAAGTTGTGATGGCTAGCGATTTTTTTTTCTTTCCTACAACTGGTACCAGAATGTATAATCATTTCAAATCTGGGCAGCTAATTGCACCAAATAACTTCTTCCAGCAGCCTTTAATGGAAGAAATAGAAATTGCTTTTCTATTTACTGTGTAATTTCCTTGATAAGAAATAGATATTGCATACCATTGCCTTTTTAATAATTGAGAAGTCTACAGTAATAATTATTTCTCCAGCACTTGGAGATGGAGAATCCACCATTGGGTAGTAGACTGTATTCCTGCCCAATCAGATCAAGTCAGCCAAAGTTGCCACGCCCGTCCTGGGCCATCAATCCCCAGTCTTTGACTTGATCTTGCCCAGGACAGACGTTGCAAGTTCAGCTCTAGGCAGGTAGATTCAGACTTTGGTGGATTTTCCATTTCCCTTTCCAGTTTTCTAAAATCTCTGATCAGTGCTTAGCACACAATTTGGATTTCTCTAAAATATTTTCACTTTCCTCTCTCTCTTCAGAGGGTTAATTGGGGATTTTTTCCCGTCAGGAAGGGGCTCCTTCCTTAATTTCCCTCCCTCAACCCCTCCAAAATTCCCTACTCAGGCTTCAAAATTCCCTAATCAGGCATTTCTAACAGAAGACTAACGGCCGTTAGTCTCAAACTGATCTATTTCGCACAGGAGTTGGCCTTTGCAGCCACGCAGAAGGGCTCTAAAACTCCCAGTAGGTGGCCAACGGCTGTTGGTCTCCGAATGCCCCAGACCTGACAGAGCTTGCGGCTGCAGCTTCGTAGGCTAATCGATCGTGTGGGGAAGGACCTTCCCGGAGTTTTTTTGCCTTAACAGGCTGCCTTCGGTTCGCGGAGCTGCGGCTGCAGCTCCGGTGACCCAATTACCCCATTGCCTTCTTCTCCTTCCGACGGAGATAATCGGAGGTGCGCGCGTGCAATCCCAACACCGATCGGCTGTTAGGGGGCTGATCGGAGGACAACGGAGACCGTGTTTCTCCTTTTCCCCGATCGGTTGATTGCGGAGGCGCTGGGGGTGAGGGGAAATACTCAATTGCCTCAGTCCCTAACAGCGACAGTGGAGCGGCCGCCATTTTGAGCCTCGTGAGTCTCCTCCCTGTTACTGTTGCCTCCGCAGCGGCCTTTATTCCAGGAGTCGGCCCTCAGCCCCGGCAGCCATTCTGGGCCGCGCTTTTTTCAGCAGGCCCGACAAATTATTGGAAAAGTAACATTTTTTCTGGTCAACTAAAAAACTCTTGCCTGCTTAACAGTCCCTCAGAATAAAATACGGGGTTAGTCACAGGGTTCCCCACTCGAAGCAGGGGCAGGCCACCATTTTAGGCCGGCCGCCATTTTGTGCTCTTCACCTTCCCTAAATTTCAAAGTCAGTGATTTCTCATTCCCCTCAATTAATCCCAACCAAACTTACAGTCACCGTTGACAACTTCTTCTTCGGTGCGGTGTCTCCTGGTTCCTTAATCTGATTTTCTGTGAATTGGCACTATACTGGGATTCCAGGCACCCCCAATAGCGTGTCTGTCCTTATCCACAGTATTTAAGTACGGATTCCAGGCGACCCCTGCAGAGCGTCTGTCCTTATCCGTACATCAACTTCAACCCTTGGATTCCAGGTGCCCCAATAGTGTACCTGTCCTTATCCAACCGGGAATTGTACCTGGGTTCCAGGCGTCCCCTGTAGTCCGTCTGTCCTTACCCAGAGTCTGACATTCTCCAGATAACAGGAGCCCCTTATTGTGTTCCAGTGCTATCGGAGAATGGAGGAAGCTGTTCTTTCCTCATTGAGTGCCCTGCCATCCTCTTCGGGTCCTCCCGGTCTGGAAGGCACTGGTAAAACGACCTATAAGGGCCGATCTACCACCAAAACTGCTAAACACACTGATAAACAGGCTACCAGGAGACACCAAGCCTTGGAAAAAGAGTTCTCCAAAGCACAGAAGAGAGCCAGGCTGGAGACACCTGAGTCCGCGGGATTAGCCCTTGACTTACCCCTTGGGGTGTCAGCCTCTCCTAGGGGTGTCTGGTCGGGTGGGGATTCTTTCCCTTCTCCCGCGCAGGGCAGAATAGAGGACGTTCATTCAGCTCCCCAGCCCTCCTCGTCAAGGGTAGCACAGGGGGTCCTGGAGGCCACATTCACCCCTGCTTCGCCCTGCTGACCCAATTCTCTTCCCTACGGAGGATCGCCTGGCGCTATTTATCGCACAGGCGGTAGACCACGCTCTTGACGCCAGAGCTCGGGTCGCTAGGCCACTATCACCCATTCCCACTCCTATCCCCCGACCGGAGGATGAGGCTCATTATAATCCATCGTCTCCATCTGGGTCTTGTGTTTCTGAGGATTCATACCTCATCCATCCCCCTCTTGAACAGGAGATCCAGATGTCAGAGGAAGAAGATGTCCCTCAAGAGGCTCCCTCGTTCACTGGCCTATTTAACCCTTCCTTCTTTGTCCCCATACTGCGCAAGGCCACGTCCATGGCTCATCTGGGACAGGGATCTTCAGCAGCAGATACTCCTGCTCCACCCGATGTGGAGGCGGCCCCAGTTTACGTAGAACCTGTTGCGACGCAACACCGTATCCCCTGTCCTTCCTTGTTCCTGAATGCAATCAAGAAGCAGTGGTCATCTCCGGCTTCGCTTCCCTTACCAGGTACCACGGACAAGAAACTGTATAATGTGGCCAAGGAGCTGGAGGAGGCTCTGGAGATTCCGGATGTGGACGAACCATTAGGGCCCCTGGTATCAACCACTGCCATATCCGACGAATTTTCAGAGGCTCTTAAAGCTGAGGATCGCAAGTGCGAGTCCACTTATAAGAGAACACACCAGGCAGCCGCCTGGGCGATCAGGACCGCAACCTCCGCCTCCTTCTTCAGCAGGGCCGCCCTCACCTGGCTCCGGGAACTCCAAGCCCGGATTCCAGCGGAGGATGTCCGCACGCACCTGGACCTCAGTAAGATGGTGGCAGCCACTGAGTATGCGTCAGACACATCCTTGCAGGCCGCCAGGTTTTCTTCCAGGGCTATGGCGTCCAGCATAACTGGGCGCCGCATGCTCTGGCTGAAACATTGGCAAGCTGATGCCAAGTCCAAATGGAAATTGGCGGCCGCTCCTTATCAGGGTGCTAAGTTATTTGGGGATTCTCTGAATCTCTACTTAACGGAGAACAAGGATAAACGCAAGGTCCTTAAAGACCTGCTCAAACGGCAAAACAAAAGGCCTGGATACTTCCCACGAAGGCAGTCCTTTCGTGGGGGAGCCAGATACAATTACACCCAGCCTTTTCGCTCCTTCCCACCCAGACAGGACAGGCAGGATAGACAACCTGATAGGCAACATCCTGGACCCAGACAACAACCTCAGGGGAAACGGCCCTTTCGAGGGAACAACAGGCCTTTCTGCCGTTCAAGGTGACTCATCGACGGCACCTCCCATAGGGGGCAGACTTTCTCTGTTCGCCCACCAATGGGAGACGACCACCACAGATACGTGGGTGCTCGACACCATTCACCATGGTCTCAATTTGGAGTTCGTCTCCTACCCCCCAAATCGGTTCCTTTCCTGTCCGTACCCCCGAAACCATACAAAGCAAAGGTTGATGGACGAGGCAGTCCAACACTTGTTGCGCATACGAGCCATAGAGCCCGTACCACTGGGTCAGAGAGGTCAGGGATTTTACTCCATCCTCTTTGTTCCGAAAACATCAGGCGGATGGAGGGCTATTCTAGATCTCAAAAGCTTGAATTTCCATATCGCTTACCACAAATTCAAAATGCAAACGCTCCGTTCCATCTTGGGAAGCGTCAGAAAAGGGGACCTCCTGACGTCTATCGGCCTCACGGAGGCGTACCTTCATATCCCTATCTCTCTGACCCATCGACGGTTTCTACGGTTCACGTACAAGGGGAGTCACTTCCAGTACAGGGCGCTCCCATTTGGCCTATCATCAGCCCCCAGAGTGTTCACCAAGGTTCTGGCGGTCCTGGCAGCACATTTACGGTTGATACCAGTCAGAGTCCAGTGTTACCTGGACGACATTTTAATTCAGTCTTCATCCACCCGGTCAGCCATGGCGGATCTCGAACTGGTAATAAAACTGCTCCAGGACCACGGATTCTCAGTGAATTTTCCCAAGAGCCACTTGATTCCTACAACGAGGCTCTTGCACCTGGGGGCCATCATAGACACGATGGAGTGCCGGGTGTACCTGTCTCAAGATCGCAGAGACAGCATAAGGGAGTCGATCCTTCTGCTTCACAGGAGTCGATCGGTAACACTGGTCAATCTCTCCCAGCTGTTAGGGAAGTTGATCTCAGCCATAGCGATCGTCCCATGGTCCAGGCTCCACTCCAGGGAGCTACAATGGTTCATGCTTCCTTTTCAGAGGCGGAACCTCAGTGCCTCCCAACACAGGGTAGTTCTCCCTCAACGAGTGTTACGCTCCCTCAGGTGGTGGCTGTCACCAGCCATACTCAGAGGGTTAAGTTTCAAGGAGCCGGACAGGATTGTACTCACGACCGACGCCAGCCTGTTTGGCTGGGGGGCACATCTTCGGTCGTATTGGGCACAGGGCCGTTGGTCCGCCTCGGACCTACGACACAATATAAATTAGCTAGAGTTGAGGGCCATCCATCTAGCTCTTCGCCACTTTCGCCACCTAGTGGCACGGCGCCACGTTTTAGTCCTCACGGACAATGTGGCAGCCAAGGCCCATGTAAATCGCCAAGGGGGTACCCGATCTCGAAGCCTGTTGTCCGAAGCTCTTTTACTGGGTCTCTGGGCAGAACGCAATCTGGCCTCCATCAAGGCCGATCATATTTCGGGGGTCGCGAACACACAAGCCGACATTCTGAGCAGGTCAACGGTAGATCATTCGGAGTGGCGTCTCCACCCGAGGGTCTTCAAGGAGATTTGTCACCGCTTCAGCCTCCCTCTTGTAGACCTCTTCGCGTCCCCGTCCAATGCCCAGCTGAATCGCTTCTTTTCGCATTTTCCGGCGGTAGGAGCGAAACAAACGGATGCTCTTCAGAGCCCTTGGCCTCAGGGTCTACTCTATGTCTTTCCCCCTCTGCCCATTCTCCCGGCGGTGATCCGCAAGCTTCTTCGGGAGCGAGCGGAGATCCTCCTGGTGGCCCCTTATTGGCCAAGGAGACCTTGGTTCGCCGATCTGGTGAACCTTTCCCTCGAGGAACCTTGGCGGATCCCACCAGAACAGATCTCTCTCAGCCAAGGGGCCATTCTACATCCGGATCCACAATGGCTCCAGTTAGCCGTCTGGCGCTTGAGCGCTCGATCCTAGCTAGGGAACTTTGTTCACCAGGGGTCATCACAATCATTCAGGCATCGTGCCGTCCATCCACGAACCGCATCTATGAGGCCACGTGGAGAAATTTCCAATCCTGGTGTTCCGGGCGACAATTGTCGCTCTCGGCAATTACTGTTCCAATTATCTTGGACTATTTATTGGATGGATTGGACAAGGGCTTAGCCCCTAACACTCTGCGCAGACAAGTTGCCGCTCTTTCCACGATCCTCTCATGCGACTCAGCAGAGTCACTGGGTCATCACCCCTTGGTAAGGTCGTTCCTTAAGGGAGCCACCAACAACAAACCCCCTGCGGTACACAGGTTCCCCTCGTGGGAATTGCCACGAGTGCTTCGGGCCATCACTAAATCTCCCTTTGAGCCCCTCAGGACGTGCGACATTCGTTCCCTGTCCCACAAGGTGGCATTTCTGGTGGCTATCACGTCTGCACGTCGCATTTCCGAATTGGCGGCACTTTCAATCCGGGATGACTTGTGTATTTTCCAACAGGATAGGGTGATCCTTCGTCTCGACCCTACCTTCGTCCCAAAGGTCAATTCCCTGTTCCATAGGTCACAGGAGATAGTGCTGCCTGACTTCTGTCCCAACCCGTCACACGCGTTGGAACGACAATGGCATAGTTTGGATGTCCGCAGAGCCCTTAGGTACTATATTTCGCGGACAGCTGAGTTCCGGAAATCTGAAGCCCTCTTTGTATCCTTCCACTCCTCCACCAAAGGTCGGAAAGTTTCCTCTTCCACAGTTGGGAGATGGATAAGGGCATGCATCACCGGGGCTTACCAAGCTGAGTCGTTGCCGGTCCCGCGGGGGTGACCGCCCATTCCACACGGAGTGCGGCTACTTCTGCGGCGTGGGCCACTCAGGCTTCCATCGAGGAGGTTTGCAAGGCAGCCACTTGGGCTTCGCCTTCTCCTTTCATTCGGCACTATAAAATTGATAAGTTTGCCTCGGCTGAGGCTTCATTTGGAAGGAGAGTTCTCCAACAAGTTTTGCACCAAAGTGCCACTCTGGACCAGTCTACTACCCACCCTAAGGGACAGTGGCTTTGGTATGTCCCAATGGTGGATTCTCCATCTCCAAGTGCTGGAGAAGGGGCGTTGTCTTATCTGAACGCCTTTTCTCAGCACGGAGATGGAGAATCCACCTCCCACCCTTGTAGGTTTTTTTGGCCTAGGGGCAGTTAGTTTGGTGAGCCACAACGTCTTGCTGTCAGTCAATGGCTACGCTCGCGTAAAAGACTGGGGATTGATGGCCCAGGACGGGCGTGGCAACTTTGGCTGACTTGATCTGATTGGGCAGGAATATAGTCTACTACCCAATGGTGGATTCTCCATCTCCGTGCTGAGAAAAGGCGTTCAGGTAAGACAACGCCCCTTCTCTGAAAATTCTTCCAGCACTTAAAAAAGAAGTACCTTAATTAAGATATGATTTTTTTTCAATCATTCATAATACAATGATTTAATTACAACTAACACAAAAACCCATAATATAAAATATTCAAATTTGTAATGAATTTAGAAATACATTTAGCATTATTAACACTATAATGCTGGTTGGTTAAGTTTATACTATTAAATAATATATTCTGTTTCCTAATTTATATTTTGACAACTATCTAAGGCTGCAATGATATGCCACTTAGGTAGAAATAAACCTTTAAGAACTCTGTGGGATTTTTTTCCTAATTATATGTATATTTTTTGTACTGTTGTATACTATGAAATTCTTTTTGAATAAAACTAATTCACTTGGGGATTCTGTCTGTGCTGATTTTTAGTAAGACAGAAGCGAGAGAAAACTTTTAAAAACGTATTATCTGACATACTAGGAACATATCAACTGGCCCCCTCAGAGAAGGCACGCAACTTGGGTGTCCTCCTGGATCCACGGCTGACACTGGAAGATCATTTGTCGGCCGTGACCAGGGGGGCGTTTTATCAGGTTCGCCTGATCCACCAGTTGCGTCCTTTTCTGGACCGGGACGCTCTGCGCACGGTCACTCAAGCTCTCGTCACCTCCCGCCTGGACTACTGCAAT